TACCTAATTTTAAAATTGAAAAAATTGAATTTCACCACCAACATGACTTCTTTTTTATGACATGGACTTAAAAAGTAATATTTTTTTTTCTCTATTGTTTAAAATAATTAAAATTTTTAAAATAAGATAAATACAAAAATAAATAACAATAAAATTGACGAACTTTGACGATAGGACTATCTTGATACCAAAAAAAAAAGTGGAAGGACGGTTCAATTGAAAATTTTAGTAGGTGGATCAAAATGATACTGGAGCAATAGTTGAGGGACCATTTCAGCCATACCATTCGATAGAGCTTCTCAAAAAGTCACATATACCCTTCAAAACTCAGTCACGTGGCCATCGCGTGATCAGAAGTGGCGGAATCTATCACGGATGGACCATCTTGGTACAAAATAAAAAGTTTAAGAACGTTTGAATTGAAAATTTTAGTTGGTGGACCAAAATGATACTTGAGCAATAGTTGGGAGACCATTTAGGTCATTAACCTTATTTTTAAAACAAAAAACCTTCTTCCTATCCTTGTCATCACAAAGAGGGTGGGTATGGTTTGGGTGAGAGTGTGGGTTATGGGAGCATTATCAGTTGTTGTCAAGGTGGCGAGTTAATTGACTCGGTGTCAGGTGGAGGTTGTCCATGATTTTGTTGTATTGGAGGAAGGGAGATATATCATTAGTCGATTGGTGGTGGGTTTTAATGGGCTTGGCTTGGGAGGGAGGAAGATAATGGGTGGGGAGAGTTAAGTTGCAGCTGTGGGGGAGTTAGGGATGACAATGGATCGGGTAGGGGTCGGGTATGACAATACCATTCTCGTCTCCGCTATACATCCCTGCCCCAGTCCCCGAACCAATCCCCATTTAATAGGTTTCAGAAAATTCCCATCCCCATTCCCATCGAGGGACTATTCCCCATACCAGCCCAGATTCCCCAATTTTTTTGCATAAAAAAAATTTATCATACATTTTTATGACAACCGATTTATGAATGAATCTGGTAGAATCAAACCTGACCCGAATAGAATTTGATAGATTCATGTTTTTGGGCGAGCCCAAGTTTTATCTGGTATTGGGTGCTCTAATTAAGGTTGGGCTTCAGACAATCCGGGCTGATTAAACATGTTTTTGTACTGAAGTCGGCCCAAAATGATTAAACATGTTTTCAGTAATTGGGCTTCTAATGGCAACTTATTTTTATTTTTATTTTTCAAAAAGGCCTACAACAATACAAACCCAATTTTTTTATTTTTTTTTATAAATGATAATATTTGACCAATAATTTTTGGGTGGATAGTATTTGGTCTATAAGTTTGGCCGTGCGTGCGTGGATAGTATTTTACCCAATTTCCCAAAACAAATAAAAGAAAAGAAAATGTGAATCTCTCGCATGCATAAGTGTGACACATCGTAACAGTAATCGACGGAGGAGGATGGCTTTTTATTTATTATTATTATTATTTTTTTAATATTGTAAAACATTAAACAAAAAATAAATATGGAATCTCAATGAAACAAGTCAGGGATTGAGAGATGGTGAGGGAGAGACAGATTGTTCATGGCTCTGTTCTTGAAACTACCCGCGATCCCTTTCCCGGTAAGTCTAAGGCACGGCTGCTCACTTCAATTTCGTTCCACAGCAACACCAACATCAACATCAACATCAACAAGAATGGCTCTCTCTCCCCACAATGTCTCTTTTCATACCCATACGACCACTCAAAAGCTTCCCATACTCCTCTTCGACATCATGGACACCGTTGTTCGCGACCCTTTTTACCATGACGTCCCTGCCTTCTTCAGGTACCCAAACTCAATTTCTTTTCTTTTGTCATTTCCTTCAATTGGGTTGCCTCTGCTTCTTGTTGATTAGATATAAGACAATAAAAGAAGAGAAATTGATATACTCTCACTGGTTTTGGACTTTCAATATGGCGTATGGTTCATTCATTGGCTAGCTGCTGCATAACCATTTTATTGGAAATAACAGAAAATTGAATCTGTTTAAAGGAAATTGGAATATATATATATATATATATATTCAACTTGCTAGAATTCTTTTTCTGTTTTATTTGTAAGTCCCAGCTAATCAAAGTGATATTTCATCTCCAGAATGTCTTTCGAAGAACTTATAGAATGCAAGCACCCAACTGCGTGGATTGAGTTTGAAAAGGGGATTATTGATGAGGTATACCTGGAATTATGTTTACTAAGACTATTAAGTCTTACCTATGGGTGACGGGTCCCATCCCCATCTGCAAGTGAAAATGAATATATGGTATCACTGCCTGTTTTGAACTTTTCAGTTAACAACTTTGAACAGAAAAATGTAATATTCATTTGGTAATTTGGCTTCTGACGATCTTTGAAAGATATTGCTTTTTGAACTCTCAAGTGAAAATGCATAATTTTGTTCTATTTAACGGAAGCAAACAAAATAATACGTTCAAAATATGAATTTTAATTCCATGCTATAGCATGTCAAATTGCTGTATGACAAATCATTTTGCCACCAGATGGAGCTAGCGAGAAAGTTCTTTACTGATGGAAGGCCTCTAGATTTGGAAGGTTAGTTGGAATTTCTTACTTTTGAAAAAAAATGAAGATGTAAGCTTTTGGGGTACATATTTCCAGTCATCTCTGCTGTTATGTATTTCAAACACTACCTCGTTCATAAGACTTTAACTCAGTCCTTAGAAGTCTGAGCCAGTAAGAATGTACTTCATGTCACTAGAAAATGACTTTTCTTCATGTTGCTTCATTTTTCTGCTGTTATCGTTTGTGCAAATGATTCTTTTTCTTGCTTTATGAAGGTTGATACTGATAGTGAAAAGAACAATGGTACATGCAGTGCGGAATTTGCTTGTGTGAAACTTCTGTGCAACATAATGTAGACACCTCATATTGATTCCAAAATTATGACATATACTAATCAATCCTCTAATATTTGGCACTGCATTGTGGAATTGTTAATTTCTTTTGTTTCTTTTATTATCTCTGAAGCCCTCGTCAAAATTACTTTTCAGCGACTTCCGAAATATTGTGTTGTTAGTCTTATTGAACTGGGTAGATTGAAGCACTTAAGTCTGTACTTTGACATGATTGAGTGGTAAAATGTGTTCTCGTATAATATGCTCTTCCTTCCGAATCTTACAGGAAAGTACTTCATTTATCTTTGCAGGCCTAAAAGATTGCATGAGAAAGGGATATTCCTATGTTGAAGGCATAGAAGAATTGCTTCATTCATTGAAAGATAACAACTATGAGATGCATGCCTTCACAAACTATCCCATCTGGTTAGATGAAAATTTCTATATCAAGTTTTCTTATTAAGTGAAGCAGTTTATCATTTTATTCAGGAAATTTTGTTTTGTTAGGTACGAGATGATTGAGGACAAATTAAAAATCTCAAAATATTTGTCTTGGACGTTCTGTTCATGTATAAGTGGTACGTTAAGTGTTTGCATTTTACTTTTAGGATTCTCTTCCATCTGTAGCTGCACAAGCACATCCACATGAATGTCTCAATGCTCTGCCTGTGCACTTTTTTTTTTCTTCAGGGAAGAGGAAGCCTGATCCTGAATTCTATTTGGAAGTTGAAAGACTTCTAAAAGTTGATCCAGCAAGCTGTATCTTCATCGACGACAGGTTTGCTTCCTTGTGTAATCTGAATATAGGATTGCCATTTATGACACAGTTTTCATTGCATTAATGTTCTTGCAGAAATTCAATTAGTTGGTCATTTAAGTTTATCTAAAGCACCCAGTTGGGCTTAGTGTGTGTGGCCAAGATTCAATGTTGCAACCTACCAATATAAAAGTTGAATTCAAGATTTTGGGTTATGCGAGTTTTGAAGGTTTTAAAACTCGGAGATATAAACACCTTATATTCATGGTTCCAATTCATGTTGCATGATTGCATCTGCAGTTTCAGGTTCTTTTTTATACTTTAATTTATTCTTAGAACTTTGGTATTATGATCGATATAGTTTGTAGACAATGAATGAGTTAACTTCACATACTAATTAATTATTATCTTGGTTCATGGTTGCATCACAGTATGAGAAATGTAGAAGCTGCAAAGGAAATTGGTATCATTGGTCTACATTTCAAAAATGCAGATTTGCTTCGACAAGATCTTTCTTTGCTGGGGATTGGCATTTCAACAAATCAAACCAAGCTTGCACAAGAATAGTCTTCTTCATCACTTCTTGTAATTCAATTTTGATGTATATCAATTGTTTTACCAGTTGCTTTCTTGCTGGGAATCAAGAATTTTCTTTCAAAATGACAAGCGAATTGGCTAACTTTCCGAGCAACTTTCCAGAAAGAAAATCGCCTTCATACGTCCAAAGTTGTATGTTCCTGTGTTCCCAAAGTTCTTCAATAACAATTTTTCCTCCGATTGATCTCAATAGAAAACCATGGAGAGGGTTGTTGATCTGAAATGCCGCTTGTTCTTCGATTGAATCTGAGAGGAAAAAAGAAGAAGAAGGATTCACTAATGTCAGCCACCCAAGAATTAAAAAATTATAGATCGATATACGCTATGGACCTTGTCATACTTTTTCTAGAATAAAAGACAAGTGGAAAATTGGATACAGCCCAACAAATCACACAACCATGTAATGAATTTTGAGGTTTCAGTTATGAATTTATGAATTCTCGCATTTTAGGGTTCATCAATGAATTTTTGCATTTTGATGGGGGTAAAATACACGTTTTTGAAAATCAAAAGATTCACTTTTAATACATGTACATATGTATTCTTCACATTTAATACACGTATTTTTTATAAAATTTTCAATAATATAAACACAATTCACGTATTTTTCATATATTATTAAATAAAAATAAAATATATTATAAATAATAAATAAAATATATTAAAATATTGTAATGGTCTAATTTTTCATTTGTGTTTTTCACAAATTTTACCTAATAAAACATTTTATTGGCTTTTTTCCTGTTCCATATTTTATTAACTAGCAACAATTTAGCCTTTTCTATTTAATATTTCTTATCCTAAAAATTAAGATATTTTCTATTTAAACCCCACACTTCTCTTTGTTCACCTAAATACTTAAATCATTAAGCTGTAAGTTTTATTATTGTGTAAAAAGACATCCAACTTAATACTTAACTCTAGTACATCTATACACACACTTCATACATCCCACCACTTTTCATATTAAGTTTTAGAAAAATACAAACTCTTCTACATCGTATTGCCAGAGACGTATAACATTGAAGAGCATGTCTCTTTAAAATCTACGTGGGAGCTAATGGAAAGACTTGTTAATTGTTTGGCTGTAATAATCTTATTCTCTTCCCTTTGTTAATTGCTTTTGTTTTGTTTTTGTTTTTTTGTTTTTTTAAAATACCTAATGTTTTGGTAAAGCTGTTCTCTTTCTCTATAAAATATTAAATTTCGGATTTGCGTTTGTTTGTGTTTTTTTTTCTGCTAGGAACAGTAATATTATTATCACTTCTGGCATTCCAGTGTGCATTTAAAATCATAGTCCTATTGCTGCAACTTCAATAGTTGGGTAATTTTTCTTGTTTCTTTTCCACTATTCCCATGAGTGGATTATAAATTTCTTATGAGTCCTAATTATTAGCTATTACCCATTATGGGGTAGAGATAAATGTGTAGAAGAAGGCAGTATATTGATAAAGATTTTTTTTTTCAAAATCAAAAGAGCGATTGGATTGAAAAAATAAAGGACTTCTAACCATCTTCTTACCCTAGAATTAACATAAATCAATTAGATGTAAAAAGAGAGGCTAGAGAGTCTGTTGATGAGTCTTTACTTGTTTCCGAGGTATCCATTCTTTTCTTAACTTATCTGTATGCTTGCTCTTGACTTCATCAACCTGCCATTGCTTAAAATTTCCAGCATGATCTCCCCAAAGCTGTATACATTCCTCCTCTAAGGATAGCTTGTGGGGTTTAAATAGAAAATTTCTTTTCTTTCTTATTTTTTCAGATTGGGGTGTATTTAAGGGTACTTTGGGAGGATATTGGGGTTTTTTTTAGAAATTGTGAAATTTTAAATTAAAAGTTAGGGTGAACTTAGAACATGGGTGAACTAAGAGAAGTTGGGGTTTAAATAGAAAATCTCAAAATTAATTAATCGCAACCATAAAACTCATCTGAGCACCGGCTACACGTCTTCATCACCGAGCTCGAATTCGTCCTCAGTGATTGGAGAACAGCCTTCTTATATATTTGTGGCTGCCTCTTCTTGGAAAAAATATTAGAGAGCAGAGCGAGACACAGAGCAGGGAGAAAGTGTGAGTGTTGAAGAAAGCAATTCTCCAAAGATGTGGTCTGTTGGGGCCTTCAACTCAATAACCATAACACCACTGTCTGCCTCTTTCGCTGTGAACAAAGCACCCATAAATACACCCACTTCACTCCACCTTCACTATTTCTCTAGGCCTCTCCGTCCTCTTCCCAGCTTCTCTCTTTCAAATCACTCGTCTTTTGGACCTCAGCTCTCTTATAAGAGGACTGTCTCTTTTCGTTGTTCTGCTGGTACATCACTCACCCTTCTCCCAATATTATTCTGTTGTTTATTGCTCTTATTCTGCAGTTTGATATGATCTTGTTGGTTGCAATGTCGGAGGAGAAGTATTACAGTTTGATGGGTATGCGCTGATAATTGTTGTCGAACGAATCTGGGCAGATTTTCTAGGTTTTCGTATGTGGGTTATGTTTATTTTGGATAAATTTGATGAGGTTGAATGGATATAACGAAAATTAGGAAGCTCCCTTGTTGGACGATGATTACTAGAATGCAATCCTGGTTTAGGTCAACCATTGTGTTGCTGCTGTTATAAAGCAGTATTCACATGAAAAGATGCAACATTTCTAGCAATATTTTGATTTATTGATAGGAGGGGAGTAAGATGATTACTGGAAACGAAAATTCAAATGTGGAAGCAAAAACTTAAAACAGATAATGGCGCATCTAACCAACTTGGAGGCATTTTTGAAATAACAAGAAGATGTTGGATGGTGCAATAGCCACTTAAGAATTATTCCCAATTATCATGAGGATCTTGGTTGGTGCTATAGTTTCGTAAATACTTCTGTTAACTGTAAACATTAGGTTGTCGAATAATTCCCAATCCATTGTTCACCATTATCTAAGTAAGGCATATTATGTCAAGTGATTTGTTATGTTGCCTCCTATATGCGTTCACAATTGTCTCTACTCTACAGTGTGTACCAAATGAGGTCTTCATCAGAAATTGGTGCTCACCTGGTAGAGGAGAGCACCTTTATGCCCCCCTTATTTTAAACTTACGGGATTGTATTATAGTAGTGAAATTGCTTTTAAAGTCTCCACCTTTATTAAGTTTCACAAGGTACTAACTCTCTCTCTCTCTCTCTCTCTCGCCTATACCTCCTTCCCCACCGGCCCTCTGTGTGTGTGTGCGTGTGTCTGTCTCTGCAGCATTAACTCCGGAGCTGAAGAATACGCTGGACAAAGTTGTTACCTCACACAAAGTGGTTCTTTTTATGAAGGGAACAAGGGATTTTCCACAATGTGGATTTTCAAACACTGTCGTACAAATATTGAAGTCCTTGAATGTACCCTTTGAAACAATAAACATACTAGAAAATGAACTATTGCGCCAGGGATTGAAGGAGTATTCCAGTTGGCCAACATTTCCTCAACTTTATGTTGAAGGAGAATTTTTCGGTGGCTGTGACATCACTGTCGGTAAGTTAATTTTAGTTCTTGTATTATATTCATTGTTTCACGTAATTTCATTCCCATAAAAGGCGAGCTGCTAACAAAGTCTGCCAAAGCTATGCATTCGAGCATTTTAACTGAGAACTCAGTTCACCTCTACATCTTCATCTTCTGTCATGGAGTCAACCAATTTAAATACAATGAAATAGAGGATAAACACAGAGTAAAAACGATGTTTAGATCTGATCTTTATGTTTTATTGAGGATTATTAATGGAGAATGGTAGTGTAGTACGAAAAATTGGTGACATTGCATGTGACCATGCCGTGTGAATACACTAGTCTTATAAGAACATGATGTGGTCTGTAGTTTATGACAGTATGGTGATGGAGATGATAGCATAAGGCTTTAGTTATTATAGTGTGGGAAATAGTTTTCTTTGTATGGCTCTTCTTTTTTGTAAGTCATGTGTTCTCTTCCCAGTTTGCCTTTACTTGCTCTATCATACTCTTTTTTCTGTTTATTAAATACCAAGTCCTCTCCGCGCTACATTTTTCGGCGTCTGAATATGTTCAGTTATTGACCAGAGTTGGCAAATATTCCAATATATATGAAATCTTTGAGGAAACTATTTTCTTTACAGAGGCATATAAAACTGGGGAATTGCAGGAACTACTGGAGAAGGCAATGTGCTCCTGAGCTTTGCGGATTATGGTAAAAGTGTGGTCTTCGACTTGGATGGTGATAATTAGAAAATGTTTTTTTTTATGTAATTCATCTTTTCTTCGCGGTTGTGCACTATGATTACAAACAAAACTGTATATTGTATTATTTCAGTACTACTAACGAATCTCCAATTGGGGATAAACAGTTAATATGAAAATTTGCAAAAGGCTTTATTATTCTTTGCGATATAATTTATAGAACTCTCTCCATTTGTGGAAATGTAGCAAACTTCGTGCGCTCGCATTTTCCTTCCTATTGCTTTTGGAATTGTTAAGAGGCCTTCGTCTGTAATTTTCATTTGTGATCGATTTGTTTGCTTTCGGAAATAATACAGTTAGTAACCATTCGGTACATGGAATGGAGGGATGTTGAGCTTCATTGAGCCTTTGGATCATTTTAAATAGTCAAATTTCCCTTATGCTTTAACCAAATGTCTCAATCAAATTTCCCTTTAACCCTATTTATGACAACTTTTACAGAGCATTGCTTAACGTTGAAATATTGCTTGATGTTTTTGAGATCAAATGGAGTTTACTCTATAAATACTCGGATGAATTTTCCTTCCTAATTTTATACAGGTGAAGTGAAGAAAAAAGTATGCCTAAGATTCCTAAGCTTGTTCACCATTTTATTTCTCTGTATCCTACTTGTTTCTGACTTTTCTTGTTTCCTTTGCCGTAGTTTGCATTAAGAACTCGTTTGGGACTGCTATTTAATTAAAAGTCATTGAAACAGACTAACAACTTACTAATTGTTGTGTTTTGTTTGTTACATATATAAATAAATAAATAGCCGTTGCATAAAAGAAGGTTTGTCGGAGGAGAAGTGAAATATGGTCTGGAATATGCTGGCAAACAGAACACTGACAAACAATGCCGGGAATGGGAAGGTGCTGTTCGTTTGAAGTGTTCACCATACGCTTGTGGTTGTTACCATGCTTGTCTTTTAACCTAAACATATTTAAAGTTCTTCCTTGTGATTGTGGTTACCAATTAAATATGTAAAATGGGAAAGAAAGAAAAAGTTGCCGTCATTTATCCATAATTAAATGGAAAATTAGAGCTTAATCATACCAAAATGTAAACTGTTAACATTGCAATTAACGTATAAAATGAAACTCTACAAGAGGCAGCTAAACATCCTTGAATGTTTTGCTTCAATATTCAACTTTCTTAATTTTTAATTGCTTAAAAAAAAAATAATAATAAATAAAGATGGGGCGGCGCAATTGAGGCAGTGCTAATTAAAGAGCGAGGTGGCAGGCTACCGTTGGTTGGTCATGTTGGCCGACCTTAAGATGGGTAAGACTATGCCTTTGTCCAATGTCCTCCTCCGACAGACACAAATACGATACGACGAAAGATTGACAAAGAGAAAAACGACCAAACACGCACCACCGTTGAAGCAAATCTGAAAGAGAGATATCCGTCCGACTCTCTCTCTCTCTCTCTGACTCTGAGAAATTCTTGAGATTTCATTCAGTTTTTCAACAAAATGAGTATGACCCAGTTCGCTATGGTATGTTTTCTTCTCTCTTACTCTCGCAATTTGTTAGCCTTATTGTGTTTGTTGGCCGTTGATTTTCGCTTTTACTTTGAATTTAGAAAATTTGTAGTTTTTCAAGTCATGCTCCAATTAGGTGTTCTGGGTTGTGCTGATTTCAAAATTTCTGTTCAGTTTTTTGCTCTATGAACTGAAAGTTAGAAATTTTGGAAGTTTAGTGCTTCAAAGTTATATTCCCTTATTTTTTTGTCCATCCATAATTGTAACGACTGAAGCTTCAAATCCTACTATCAGTTCGTGTAAATTTAATTTCCTTCGCTAGTTTATATGTAAAGAAACCTTCTTGGTTCAGCTAATGGTACTTCTATCACTTATAAGCTTATCTTGTAACCAAAATGCAGGTTGAGGAATTGGCTTCTCTTGTCAAAGACAATCTTTCTTGCAAGCATCTTATTCTCTCAGTGGAAGAGTGCTTGGTGGACTTCCTTCAGAGTGATACCAGGCATGTAAGACAACTGCTAAATATTAGTTGCATTGTCCTTTCTTATGAGATTAGTTTGGACAGAAGGTTGTGCAATCCTTAAAACTATATGAAGCAGGAGTGTTACTATGGTCACGAGTGATGTGACTAACTGACCTCAATTTTGATACCCACTTGGGGCTGATACCCAAAATTGGGGGTCCACACCCCCACAGACATCTGGGATCAGTTGCATCACTTGTGAATGAATATAGCTCTGCACTATAAGAGTTTTATTTTAGGGACATCTCATTGATCAATTTACAGTGATTGGAAATAACTGTTATCAACCTTGCAGTGCATTTATATCTTATCTCCCAAATATGTTCAACCGGGCATGGTATAATCATACATGTTCTATAAGTGAACTGTTGTCTTGCTTGTGTCTTTTCCCTGACTAGTGTAATATATTTCATGATAACGCAATAGAGATAAGATTTGTTTGAAACCCTATGAAGCTGTTTCCTGATCATTATCTGTGCTGAGAGTACTAATAAAAAAAAAGTGAAATTTGGTGCAGTTCCAGTGGGGTCTTGGAGTTGGAACCCATGAACTCATACAACCGTCTTCTCTTGCATCGTCTTGCAGACATTTTTGGGTATTTTCCTTTTTTCCATCATCTAATTGTTGATTTGTTGAATGTTTTTTGTCATATATTCCCTTTTTTTTTTTCTTTTTGTGGAAGAATGTTGCAGCTCACATGTACTTGACTTCTGTTGATAATAATATACTGCTTTTTTCTAGCTTTTCCCATGAATCCGTTGGTGAAGGAGATGACCGGCACTTAATTTTGGAGCGATGCCCGGAGACATCAATGTATGTGAAGACTAACAAACCATAACCCAGAAATTTCTTGACATCCTTTTTTTTTTTTTTTTTTGTTAACTTGCTGCACTTATTTTCTTATATATCATGATTTATGATGTTATGCTCAAATTATAATTAAGAGGCTTTGATGGAAATCTTGCATGTTGCCATGTATTCACATTTTGGGAAGGACATACATTGGTTGTAATTAGACATATATCTTGTGTCTGGCACAATCCGTACTTGTCAGACTCATAAACATTTCCATGAATGGGTGTAGATATGAGAAGATTGTCTAGTTGGTGAATGGTATGGCAAGAAAGGTGAAAATTGAATGCATCTCTTTTAGAAGGTAGAGTGGCATTAGTGGGGACAGTTGGAAGTGATTTTAAAGACCTTCAAGCACTACTAATCTAGAAGCTTTTTCAATGACTAGGTAGGGAACAAGAGCTGCACTTAAATAATTAATGATAGTCTGAGATATTTGGCATCTAAGAGAAACTTGTCTCACTAGAATACAATGCATGTATATTTGGTATCAGATTGCTTCAGACTGAACTAAGCTATGGTAATTATATTTTTCCTTCTGAATTTCAAAGTCAATAGAATAATGGTGATTGGGCTTATGATAGTGGTTTAACTAGGTTAATAGAGTTAATTTGGTCCAGCGTCCCCTGTTTTTTCTTTTGGTAATCAGTGTGTTTGGGTTGCAGACCTTCCATCCTTGTTGGTGATATCTTGTGGCAGTATGATGAGCCTGATTCTCCAACTACTTCACACCTATTATTAAAGAGGACAGAAGCTCCCCCAGGTAATGATTTCCCCTCCTTTTATCACTTGCGCGATGTATTTCTGTTCTTATTTCCTATCCCTGTTAATGATGATGTGTTGAGACAAACCTCCTTATAATTTTAGTGGTAAGGCAAAAACCTCCTTCATTTCAACACTCACTTGAGGAGAGAGAAGCTGCTTATTTGGCTGCTCGTGAGCGAATATTTTCAAGGGACTTGGGAGAGGTAAAGGAATCTGTCAAGCAGAAGCCACGTAGTGTCCCTGTTGTTGCCCGCCGGATGATAGCACATGCCCTAGGCCAAAGAATCAATCCATCCAGTCAAGATTCCCTTCATGAAGATTGCAAAGTTTTGGGAGGGCACACTAGTGAATTGAATGTGCAAGACAAGGTTGAAGATGAGCCCAGTTTGACCGTGGAAGCTTTTAAGAAGGAAGGAAATATGAACTCGTGCAGTGAAGTGAAAAAGAACAGCCGTAGTAGTAACAATGCACCACCTTTAACTCTAAGTGAAAGGAAGACTCCCAAAAAACAAGGCGACAAGATTTCGGGTGGTGGCAACAGTATATCTCAGAATGGAAGAAGTGGACATGGTGTCGACGAGGAATACTTCAAAAGGGAACATTTGGGAGCAGCAAAGAGGATGTTTGCTCATGCCTTGGGAATGCGCTCAGGGAGGAATGATGTTCTTTCAAAATGTAGCGAGAGAAAGCATGTTGACACAGAGTAAGGGTTGCTTTTAGAAACGCATATTTGTGTGCCGTTTCACTTCTCTTGTACTTGGGTACACATCAACCGGATCATCTGGGGTCTTCAGTCAAATGAATGGCTTATGGGCTTGTAGACTGTTCTGATGACATGTTGGGAGACGCAGTTGTAAAAGGAGGGAACCTCTTGGTAATATGTTGTTGGCTGCTCCCTCGTATGCATGGGCAAATCATATATAGGTCGCAGATACTTGCACAGCTAATTCCATGTAGGACAACGCCATGGTTCACGTTGCGGAAATATTCAGGGAGATGGGAGTGTCAGCCTAACTGGATAATTTTATTTCTTTGTGTGCAGCTTAACATGCGATGTAGTCAAGAAGTATCTTTTTGGTTTGATAGTTAATTGTTGTAATGGATGGTGCAAGCAATAATCTCACTCACAGATTATTGTTTTTCTTTTTTAAATTATAAGTAATGTTACATAATAATTTGTATTATGAATAATTTTGAACGTTTTCTTTCTCTTTTTTCTCTTCTTATATATATATATATATATATATATATATATATATATAT